TGGCACTTAATTGCAAAACATTGTTTGTTAAAATTAAGCCTCAATGAAAAGTAATAAAACAAAGCCCATCATGTAGAAAGCTTTACAGCTGTGGTTGATGTTGACGATGTCGAGTGAGACTTCTAAAATTTATTTATTTTTTTGATGTACTATTTTGAACCAGACACTGATTTTGCGCGCGTGTGACTCGTACAGGTTTCACGCACTAAGGATATGGTACAAAACTGGGGAACAATCTGAGATATACTCTTTTATGAGAGCGTTTTGACTATTAAGGAGAAAGTGGTACTTACAGATCTGGAATTGGATGTTGAGGAGGCTTTCGTAGGCTGAAAGTGAACTCTTCATCCCAAGTAAGGCAATTTGACTACTGATCATTTTACGGTCGTCATCCGGACAAAAAAAAGACTCCACGTCCTTATGTACTTCATAAAGACAATAAAACAACTAACCTTGAAAAAATAGAAAACACAGTGAAAATTAGGGAGAAAATGGCCAAATTAGGCCGGAAACAGCTGATCGCCGCGGTCGTGACGCGCTGCAGCCGCGTCGCGACCCTTGGCCGCCTAATCAAGTGCCCGGATGACGACTGTATATTCAGGTCGTTCCACAGGCCTTGAATAGTTTGTTACAGATTCGTTCAAAACGTTGGGATTGGAATTGGGGAGGGGATTTTATTGTTGCTATGAACCAAAAAGGGACCATTACTCATCCTGTATTAGGCTACGTCTATACTTCGCGTCGACATTTCTAGCGTACGAAATCGCTTGGACTTTTCGAGCGACACCAGCATTTTGAGCGTTTCGAGCGATACTGTAGGAATCGATCCGGCGTACAACGGTGTTTTGAGCATCTAGGAAAGCACGGATGTGGATCAAGCGTTTTGAGCGTACGCAAGCGTCCAGGAGTTGGAGAGTATGGGAAGTAGGAGGTTAGCAGACTACGGAATTATACGTCGTGAAGTGGCGCTTGTGCAACCACATCCTGGGCTTTGTATTCTTATTCACGGGGAATTAAGTCTGAACAACTCTGTGCTTTGGCAGTTGTAGGCTAATGCCGTTTGGACTCCAGCAATTTCGGCACCGAGCTCATTTTTAAATTGCCTAAGTCACCAAATCCGCTAAAAACTTGTATATAGGGGTAGTTTAACATCCTGATTACGAATATGACATTCACTCTTGTCGCTGGCGCTAATGGATGACACTACGATTATCTGCGCTCTGCTAAGGCAGATAATCGTGGTGTCATCCATTAGCGTTCCAGCTGAGCCTAGGAGGTGATCCTAGTGTCCTCTCTTGACGCCAGCGACAAAAGTGAATGTCATATTCTTAATCAGGATGTTAAACTACCCCTATATACAAGTTTTTAGCGGATTTGGTGACTTAGGCAATTTAAAAATGAGCTCGGTGCCGAAATTCTGGAGTCCAAACGGCATTAGCCGCAGTTGTACGGTGCGGTTGCACACGCCGCAATTTCACCACGCCTAATCCAGTAGTCTGCTACCCTCCTGCTTCTCCATACTCTCCACTCCTGGGCGCTGCCGTACGCTTGATCGATACCTATACCTTGAGGTCGCTTAAAACGCTGGCGTACGCCAAATACGCTGACGCAAATTATGAATGCAACCTGGTACTGTGATACTTTATTCTAATTACCATACATGTATCAAGTGTGTAGTTCATCAAGTGCGAGGCCGGACAAGGAAGCTTTCCAAAAAGTGTTATTCGCGTTAAGACCGAGTCAATTCGCCTTGGAATGCTGCGGGGTGTCAGCTCAGAAACAATATGCTAGTCTGCGCGCAATTCTCGGCTGTCATGAATTGAACCCATGGACCAGTGGTCAGACAGCGCCATGGTCGAAATGTTTTCTCAAACTCCTCTACGAGATGAAGTGAGTAGCTTCAGTCCTGAGAGTGAGAAGATTCGGTAATATGTAGTGTTGGGCAGGGTTCGAAGGCTTCCCTAGCGGTTTGCCTTTCAAAGGAACAGTTTCAAACTAATCTAACCTTGTCCATCTTGCTTTTGGTAATAGCACGTCCACCCCAGTTGTCAGGTACGAACTCTGGTCGTGCAAGCATCACATCCAGTATGACTAGTTTTGCCTTCAAAATGAAAAAAAGTAATTTTTTTAGTCGTTTACACATTCTGTCATTGCTTCGTGCGTTACAGATCCATTATGCCTACATTGGCTGTGTCAATGAGAAATTTACGGAGCTCATTGTCTATATGTTCGTCACATAACTCTGTCCGATTTACCATCACATCCAGCGCATAACTTATCGCTTTATCAATAAGCATCACAACCTGAAAGCGGTAGATCTTTCGTTCCTGTGGATATACAGATACTGCTGTCGATCCGCAACCCTCTACAGTCGTGATCTCAGCAAATGATAGGGCGTGTGATGCGGCGTGGATCGGAGCGCAGTCATACTGAGCCCGCTAGAATTGGTGAT